CTTTTATGCTGCTAGGGAAATATTTTCAATACCGTGTTAGGAGATACGATATTTTGTAAAATTTTACGTTAAAATTTGTAAATTTAAACGATAAAATTGTAAAAGTTATGATAATTTGTGAAATTTGAATTTTACAATAATTTATGTTATAACTTACAAACTCGAATGATATTTCATCATAAAATTTAAAATTTCACAAATTATCTTTCGAGTTTTAAATTTATCGTTTGAGTTTGTAAGTTATAACGTAAAATTTCACAAATTATCATATCTCTCATGGTGCCAAAAAAAGTACCCTGACAGAATAAAAAGACCTCAATTATGACTAATAAGAGAAGCACAGATATGTTACAAAATCAATTGCAATCGATGTTAAGGAACTAAAGGAAGTTAAAAACAAAGAAGCCCCAAGCCCAAAGCAATTCTAGCATTTCTCTTGTTCGTAATATAAACGGTATTAACGTCAAAGCTATCCTTGTCGTTATTGCAAAATCTAGACACTATGAGTGCGTTGGGAACTCGTTTTAAAATAATTTTATTTTTTGTATGAAAATTAAAAATGAAAACATTTTCAATCTCATATATAAATCATTTTTGAGAATGCGTTTGGTAGTTTTATCAAGAGATTATTTTCATTATAAAAAACGCATTAATATCTCTCTCTTGCGTTTGGTAGTTTTATCAAGAGATTATTTTCATTATAAAAAACGCATTAATATCTCTCTCTTTCTCTCTGCTTGAGAGATGAGAAAATGAAAATGAAAAATGAAAAACGACTAAAAGGCGTTTTTTATTTCTCTCTCATTTTACACTAAACCAGAAAATCGTTTTCTTTTCTATTTTTTATCTTTATTGCGTTAAACACCGTTTTAAAAATATTTTCATTTTTTTTTTAAAAAACGTAAAAAATAAAAACGGAATCAATTTCAAATGACCTATAAAACTTGAGTAACATCCAGCCGTATATCTTATTAACCCATCTAGCTAATGCTCTACGCCTCTACATATGCTCTATAAACTTCATGAAATAATTGCTACCCAGAAAAAAAAAAAAAAAAAAAAAAAAAAAACCACAAAATAATTAGAAAGAGAAAGATGACAAAATTAGAGTCAAATAATTATAAAGGCTGAAGCCCTAACCTATGGAATCTATACCACAAGATTTATTGGTAAGCAGAAGGCCCTCATTAAAACCTTGCCAGAAAATTATTAATGTGGCTTTGTAATTACTTAACAGTACGAATTAAGAAATATTAATCTATCAATTGTAGCGGCTATAAAAATTAATGCTGATTGTTATGTCTGTAAGTCCCTTCATTCAATTTTAGACAACTTTTGGCTCTAATCAAACAATAACCATGCTCCTCCTCCTAATTCTCCTCTCTGTTCCTCAAACTGTATTGTTCTTTCCCAACAAATATCCACTTTTCGGAGGCTTAACTTGCCAAATACTTAAGTACGTCCTGAATCTATAACCTTAGACTTCCTCAGTAGAGGACCATACACAGACATCTCTGATGGTAGAATTTTCATATATGATCGACGTACCACAGGTTTCCTCGATTTTGCCTACACATCACACAATAGGTAATTTTTTTTTATATATATTTATTTGTGTTCTAATTTAATTTTTGTAACATTATACCTCGAGCGCTTAATTTTTGTAACATTATACCTCGTTCATTTCACCGATTCGAATTTTGTTACAATAAAAAACTCTCAGAAACAGTCACATTTAACTTATTTGCTATAATAAAAAGTTCTTACAAAAAGTCACATTTCAACTCGAATCAGCGAACTAAACGGCCATTAGTTTTTATAAGGCACCACCATACTATTGGAAAAGGTTTGGTGATTTTGCAGGGTATAGTAAAGCAATGACTTTCATTACTCGCTTGCTCCATTGTTGCTGAGGACCTCTAATCAGTTGTAATATGTTTTCGCAGTTTATAGAGATCATCAAAGCTCCCATATCTCTTTTAGCAAAACAATAAAAGTTAATAGTAATAACTAAAAAAATCACCATCTACAACTATTTACTAATTGATTGAGCGAAAAAAAAAAACAAAGAAAACTGTTCTACACGAGTACAACTGAAAAATATTCATTCAAGTAACATAATTTGTAATAATATGTACATATAGTGTTGATGCGGTGCAGAATGATGTAGTCTTTATGGTGCGTTGGGATCATTCGAAAGTTAAATAAGCTAAAATTTTTAATTTTTATGGGGTCTTTTGGTGATGTCAGATTTGAACAAATAATATGTATTTTTTTCGTGTGGAAACGGCCCAACAAATAAAACTCGTCATTTTGCTATTATTTGAGACGTTTTTTAGACAAATTCCATCATTTAGGCCTTCAAAAGGGCGTTTTTACCATTTTGGCTAATTTCTGTTTTTGTAATAAGTTGACTTGGTAAATTCGGATTCATGTTCCTATTGTGTTTACTTTTTGTTATGTCTAGTAGTTTTAACTTTGTTTTTGGTTCATAATTTTCTTTTTTTTTTTTGAAAATTTTTTATTTTTATTATTTTTTAATTATTAAATAGGCTATTTTACCATTTATGTTTTGCCTATATTTATATTTAGACAACTTTTATAATGAAAATCAATTCAATTGAATAAAATTTTGTGTTTTCTCTCAGTTTTTCTGAGATTCTGCGTGAATTAATAAGCTAATTAATTTACCTTTTATTTTTATTGTTTCTCAATTCATTCAATTAAGCTTCGACTACATCATACAGGTAGATTGATATATTTTGGTTTGTCAACGATTTACCATATACATTACTTTCTGTACGAGTACTGAAGTAGCCAAATAAAAGGTATAGATAACTGATCATTCGCATATAATTAAAAAATAAAAAGTATATATCAGTTAACCTGCTGATTCACATAGAATACATGAGAAATTACTTCAAGATTCATTGATTCACACAGAATACTGAAAATTGACATCAAAATTTATTGATTCACAAAGAATGCCAAAAATTGGAAAAATAAAGTGTACTCAACGCTCAAATTTCATTCATAAAAAATTCTTCCTCCTTCCATATGATAGGACTAACATATTTATTGTCTAAACTGCCCCAACTAATGGCAACAGAAACTACAAATAAAAATAGGAAAATAAATAATTTCAAAAATTAAAAATAAAAAAGAAAGTCAACTTATATCTGACACAAGAAATAAAGAAACTTGACTTTTTTAGACCAAATTATTACAAAAATGATACTTTCCTAATTGTAAAAATGGTAATTTCCAAGAACATAATTATTTGACTTGTCTTCCATAATAATTGTCTTCGAACCAAGAATGGGGATCCCAATTGCCACACGATTTCTTTTATAATATGGGCTTCATCATTCTCCCTCACTTCAAAAGAATTAACCCTCGATCGAATTCGGAGTAGCTTCAAGTGATAATTTGCTCCATGAATTTTAGATGATTAATTTTTGCGCTGACTGTCATATTTTTGAATAAATATGATATTTATAAGTAAATACAATACTTACTGATAAATACCTCATCTAACAGTCGTCGGCTTCGACTGACAAATTTTTAGGTAATTACGATCTTTTTAGGTAAACACGGTATTTACCAGTCACCGGCGCCAGTGGCCAGATTATCAAATAAATATGGTATTCGGGAGAAAATACGATACTGACTAGTCGCTAGCATTGGTGGCTGAGATTTCAGATAATTAAATATGGTATTTACGAGTAAATAAAATATTTACCAATAAATACGGTATTTACCAAAACTCGTGGTAGATTTTTAGATAAATATAGTATTTACAAGTAAAAATAATATTTAATGGTAAATACAGCATTTACTAGTCGTCGATACCGGTGGCCAAATTTTTAGATAAATACGGTATTTATCAGTCCCTGAAAACTGCCGCCGGAGCCGGCAATGCTGAACTTGACTAGAGGGGGAAGGAGAAAGAAATTGAAAAAAAAAAGTTAAGGGTATTTTAGGATTTTTAATAATATTTAAAACTTAAAATATCAAATTATACTATAATCTACTTATTTTAAAAATAGATCTATATGCTATAATTACTAAACATCCTACTGAATATGTTACTTTGCTTTTCATCCCTATATATATATATATATTTGTATATTTAATGGTGGAGTGTGTAATGAGTTTTTTAGACAAAAGTAATTCTATCAATGGATAATTTAGTAAATTAAAAAAGAGTGTGTGGAAAGTAGAAAAAAAAGCTCAGTGTCGGAATTTGAAACTCAAATTATTAATATATTAAAAATAAAATAAAAATTTAAATTCATACGTTTAGTAAGTAGAAGAAAACATAGTTGAAAAAGTGCATTTAATTGTATGAAAAAAAGTTATCTTAAGTGGTTACTACACCTCACTCCACCATAAAATAAAGATTTTCAATCCTCCACCCTAAAATGCAAAAAAAAAAAAAAAAAAAAAAAAAAAAAAAAAAAAAAAAAAAAAGAAAAAAGAAAGCCTATCCTAGACGTTTTCACAAAATCTGGACATTTTAAAATTTGAATGGTAAGATTCTGCGGTTTATCTCAATAACTAATCCAGCTAATGCTCTACGCTCTACATATGCTCTATCAACTTCATTAAATAATTTTCACCAAAAAAAAAAAAAAAACTTCATTAAACAATTAGAAAGAAATAATGACAAAATTAGAGTCAAATAATAAAGGCTGAAGTTCTAGCCTATGGCTGAACGAAACATATTTAAGTGAAGAATAGAAATAAAACCGATGTGCCCTAAAAAATAAAATAAAAATTCCTCAACTAAGTAAACAAATAAATAAAAGTAAACCCGATGAACTGGAACCTATACGACAGAATTTACTATTGACAAACAAAAGGCCTCATTAAATTATTAATGGTTTCATTAGTTAATTAATCATGATAAAGAAATATTAAATCGATTAACTACTGCGGTGGCCTATAAAAACTAAAGCAGATTGTTATGCATTGACATTCAATTAATCAGACAGTAACCATGTTGCTCATTCTCCTAATTATTCTCCTCTCTGTTCCTTCAAATTGTATTGTTCTTTTTCAACAAACATCCACTTTTCGGAGGCTTAATTTGCCAAATACTTCAGTAGGACCTGAATCTATAACCTTCGACTCTCTCGGTAGAGGGCCATACACAGGCATTTCTGATGGCAAAATTGTTAGATATGATCGACGTACTGCGGGTTTCGTCGATTTTGCCTTCACATCAAGAAACAGGTAAAAATTTTCTAATTTGTTTGTGTTCTTATCTAATTTTAGTTTTGTTTATACGTAAAGCTTAAACGATAATTAGCGACCTGACAGAGCAGAAGCTTTGATTTTTATAGGGCACTTTTTTTTTTTTGGGTAAAGGCTTCGGTCTAACAGGCTATATTGCAATGCCTTCGTTGAAACACTGGCCACACTTTGCCTCATTTCATCTCTCGCTTTCATCATTGTAGCTGAGGACCTCTGATCAGTTTGCTTTATCTTTTCACATTTTATGGAGATCAAGCTCTCATATTTCTCATCTCTTTTAGCAAATAATAATAATAACAATGATAATGACGATGATGATAATAATAATAAATGCTAGCTCCTAACTATTTAGTATTTACTAAGTGATTGAACGAAATTAAGAAAAAATACTCGGAAAAAAGAAAAGAAAAGAAAGAAACCTGTTCTACACGACTGAAAGATATTTATCAAGTAACATAATTAATACATGAGCCAAAAAAACGTAACATGATTAATTGTAATATGTTGATATTACCTATATTGCTATATATATATATATATATATATGCTGACCGGTCACCAAGTTACAATATTTCACTTTCTGTACGAGCACATTGAACTCAAGGTAATACAATGTGTTTGGCGCTGTTTGTTCCTTACTCATCCAATAATGATGGATTTAGTTCCTGAATTAGCCCTTCAATTTAAGTTTGTTTTGTCTAATATTCGATCTAGCAATAAATTTGTGAATAGACTTTTGATATTTAATAGAGGAAACCATGTGTTTATCGTATAAAAATACATGAATTTTTTTTTTTTTTTTTTAGAAAAAAGCATAATTAGATGCAATATATTAATTTTTAAGGGAGTAGAGCATTTTGCACCTTTTGTGTTTCATTCGGTAAAATTATAAATTATCAGATGATAGACACGCATTTACCTCAATTAAACTTTAAAGTATTATATTCATTGGTACCTCTTAAATTTTAGAGTCATTTCTAGTTGACCCTTAAATTTTAAAAACTCGCACTTTACTTCCTACATTTTAAATTATTGCCATTTAGCCACCTCCATTAGAATTTTTGTTAAAAACATATGAAAAAAAAAAGAGGCCAAGGCAGTACAATCACAGTCTTTATGTAAAACCTTTATATACTAAAAACCAAAAAAAAAAAAAAAAAAAAGACTACATGAACACAATTAACCCCCTTGTTTTTTATTTGATTTCAACAGAAATTCTTACAAAGGGTTAAGTAGGACAAATTCAAAATTTAAAGGGTGAAATGATAATTTTTAAAGTTAATTTGAAAGTTAAACCATGAATGATCTCAAAATTTAGGGGTATTGTTGAGATTAATCCAATTTTGAAATCCATTTTATTTTATAGTTATTGATATAAGTACAAATAAACTCAAAAGAAAAATTAATCGAGCTATTAATAGACAGAAACAAATTAGTCCGTGTGGATCAAACTATCACAATGCTAATAATAATTCAAGAACTAACATGCCAAAAACCCTTAAAACAACTATCATTTGAGCAAGTACAATATGACTGAATATATGGAATATTTACCAATGCTCCCAAAAAAACAAAATCGTTTTGACGTGTTCGGCCTAGAGTTTCCAATGAAGGGTGGCTACATATACATCAAACGCACTTGATTCCGTAAATCCTGAATGCTTAAGATATATACAAATATTGATGTGTTTGGAATTTTGGAACCTTATATATTCAGGTCCAAGGCTCTTTGTGATGGAACAAATAATCCGGCTTTGCGTCCTATTTGTGGGAGGCCATTAGGTATGGAATTCTTCATCCGGAAGAATATGCTATTTATTGCCGATGCCTTTCTAGGGCTGTTTAAGGTTGGACTAAATGGAGGACTTGCGACTCAACTCGCCAATGCTGCAGAAGGAATACCCTTCAGATTTCTTAACGGTTTGAGTGTTGATCAACATACTGGAGATGTCTATTTCACAGATTTCAGTTCAAGATTCCTGCAAACGTAATTCTCTAAGCATAGTCAATTTTTTGTTTTCTTTCTTTCTTTGATCTAACAAAAATATGGACCTTTACTAAAAATATGCTTGAAAAAAGATAATTTTACAAGTAAAACGATATGAAAAATGTACACACATAAGTTTGTTTATGTTTGACACTTGAATTTAGCGGTTAAGGTTTAGGGTTTTTATTTCGCAAAATTTGAGTAATTGGATTCCTAAACTCTACTGTTTTTGAAACGTGGGTCCCAATTTAAAAATTTTGAAGTGGGTCCCGATACACATGAATACCAATTCAAAAATTTAGAGTGCAATTCTGTTAATTTCGCTGATTCGAGTTTTAATACAGTAAAAAGTTCTCACAAACAGTCTCATCTAATTTTTTTATTACAGTAAAAAATACATAAAGTCGCGTCTTAACTCGAATTAAAAACTCAAATTAGTGAACTAAACCGGCTTAAACATCCCTAAAGAAGAAAAAAAAAATAATTATTGGGATGCGTCTGGGTCTTGATTCTAGTCTCAAGTCAAATCCAACAAAAATGATGATGATTATAATTTCTATATATTGTGCAGTCAAATCCAACAAGCAGTTGCTGCCAATGACTCAACAGGAAGGTTATTGAAGTACGATTACAGAACTAAAAACGTTACAGTGCTGCTAAGGCGCCTTTCTGGTGCAAACGGCGTTGCAATCAGTTCAGATAGCTCGTACGTACTTGTCGCCGAGTTCTTAGCCAACCGAACTCGGAGATTTTGGCTACATGGGACCAAAGCTTTTACGTCGGAAATCGTGGCCACTTTTCGGGGAATGCCGGATAATATTAGGAGAGCCCCTTTCGGAAATTTCTTGGTGGCAGTGAACGTAGAGAGACCAGCTGGGGGACCAAGGCTAATCCCCACAGCAATAAGAATCAATGGAGCTGGCCAGACTTTGCAGACTTTGCCTCTTGACCGATACTACAACAACACTACTATCAGTGAGGTTTTACAGTGTGGCAAGCAGTACTATATTGGCTCCGTGGAGGCAAATTTTGTTGGTGTTTTCAACGGATGATGATGAAGTTTAAGGATTGGGTTTGGCGAATTTATAGGCTAGAATGCCAAACCCTAATATATTGTTGACTAAAAATTTCCTTCCTGAAAACTATATATAATAAAAGCTTGGATCTGGGTTACAACTAGCTAGCTAGCCCCAATTTATTGTTTAGTCCTACTAAATAAATGAGAGTTTGGCTTGCTACCGTAAGACAGTTATAATTATTTCATTAAAAAGGATATTCGTCCAGAGTCAGAGATAAAAATTTAAATCTATGTGCACTTTTTATTGCGGTAAAAATATATATTAATATATATCGGATAATCAATTATAAATGGGCCCTGAAAAAGAAAGAAAAAAATAAAATTTTGTGTTAACCTAAATGCAAATAGTAATAATAATAATAAAATAAAACCCCAAAATAGATCTAACTTGATTCACATGTACAGCATATAAATGATCCACGTAAAAAAATAAAAAATAAAAATAAATCATGGACGGTGGTAATCCTACAAAAAAATAGATGACCAATCAAATATGATATGTATATTCGTCTCTGATTCTGAATCATAATTCATGATTCTCTACAGTATTTTTCTCTTACAAAAAACACACATAAAACGAGAATAATTCTGAATACATGAACTAAACGTTCACTAAAACATGTGAAGAAGTACTAATCAAATTAAAAGGTGTGGATCTTTAAAAAACACATACGATCACACGTTTCAATCATAGAACGTGGGATAGTAGTAAAAAGGCTTCTTTTAGAGTGTAATTTTTGAATTAAATTTAAATTATAACTTAAATTAAAATTATAATTTAAATAAAATTAAATAAAATTAAAATTTAAAAGAACGTAAACTCAAACAAAAAAAAAAAAAAAACAACCCAAAATAACTGCTATAAAATAACTGCTATAGAGTTCTTCTCCATAAAAAGAAGTAAGAGGGGACAGGAGAGCAGGGTACGGGGCATACGCTGGTGTGTGTGTGCACTGCAGGTGTGTGCAAGAAAAGTGAGAAAAACAAAAAGTGTGTGCGTACGTGTGACAGTGACGTGAGAAAAAAAAGAAGAAGAAAATACATCCCTTAAAGTGTAGTACGGCATCCGAGACAAAAAAAATACATATTTTCATATTTTTATCTTATTTTTGTGCTAATAATATTGATTTTCTATGTAATTAAGTAGATATAATGCATCTAAATCAAGT